AGCGGAATGAGAAGGACAGAAAAAGAGAAAAGAGAGGAGAGAGAAAATAAGAGAGAAAAGAGGAGAGAGAGAGAAAAGAGGGAGAGAGAAAGAGAGAAGGAAGGAGAAAAGAGGACAGAGAAAGAGAGAAAAGAGAAGGAGAGAGGTAGAGAAAGAAAGAAGGAGAAAGAAGAAAAGAAGGAGAGAAAAAGGAGAAAAGAGGACAAAGAAAGAGAGAAAAAGGGACAGAAAAAAGAGAGAAAGCGAAATGAGATGGATAGAAAAAGAGAGAAAAGAGAAGGAGAGAGAAAATGAGAGAGAAAAGAGAAGGAGAGAGAAAGAGAGAAAAGAGGAGAGAGAAAGAAAGAAAGAGAGAAGGAAGGAGAAAAGAGAAGGACAGAGAGAAAGAGGGGAACAAAGGTATGAGAGCCAGAGCTAGTCTGGCCTAGTCTGGCACCAGGCTAGAAAGCGGGAGACTATGAGTTCGAGTCCCGCCTTAGGCATGAAAGCCGGCTGGGTGACTTTGAGCCAATCACTAGGAGACGGTGAGTTCTAGTCTCATCTTCTCAATAAAAGTCAGCTGGTTGACTTTGGGCCAATCACCAGGAGACGGTGAGTTCTAGTCCCGCCTTAAGCATGAAAGCCGACTGGGTGACTCTGGGCCAATCAGCAGGAGAGGAGGAGTATTAAGTCCCGCCTTAGCCACGAAAGCCAGCTGGGTGACTTTGAGCCAATCACCAGGAGACGGTGAGTTCTAGTCCCGCCTTAGCCGTGAAAGCCATCGGGGTGACTTTGGGCCAATCACCAGGAGACTGGGAGTTCTAGTCCCGCCTTCTCAATTTAAAGTCAGCTGGTTGACCTTGGGCCAATCCCTCTCTCCCCCTCTCTCTCAGCCCCACCCACTCCACAGGGTTGTTGTTGTGCGGAAAACAGGAGGCGGAGGATGTGTTGGCAACGTTCCCTGCCTTGAGTTATTTGTAAAAAGAATAAAGGTGGGGAAATAAACAAATGAAAATAAAAATAAAGAGCTCAAACTTGTGGCAGGAAACATCTGAGATGAAAGCAGCGGTGGAAGGGGAGGGCGTTGTGTGTTGTACAGGATTTGCCCAGGAAAGTAGAACGTTCTGCTGGGAAAACGACTCGGATGGAACACAGGCAGCCAGAAAAAGAGGACGGACGGGTCCCACCTCCAAGGTGGAAGACGGTCCAGAGAGAGAAAGGAAGTTCTCAAGATCCCATTGCTACTTTTATACCAGCAGATCAAGTCCACTACAAAATCAGATTAAAAGGATCCAGATGCAATCAAAAAGTTCTCTTAGGGCTGGACTAGAAGACCTCCAAGGTCCCTTCCAGTTCTATTCTACTCTACTCTACTCTACTCTACTCTACTCTACTCTACTCTACTCTACTCTACTCTACTCTATTATTATTATTATTATTATTATTATTATTATTATTATTATTATTATTATTATTATTATTATTATTATCTAGCTAACATCTGTCTCTACTTATCCATCTGTCTATCACATATAGCTGCGATCTATCAGCTTTTATCAATCTCTCAATATTCATCTATATCTATCTGTCTGTCTGTCTGTCTGTCTCTGTCTATCATCTATCTATCTATATCATCTATTTATCATCTCTGTCTGTCTATCTATCTATCTATCTATCTATCTATCTATCTATCTATCTATCTATCTATCCTGTATCATCTATCTATCTATCTATCTATCTATCTATCTATCTATCTATCTATCTATCTATCTATCATCTATCTATCTATATCATCTATTTATCATCTCTGTCTGTCTGTCTATCTATCTATCTATCTATCTATCTATCTATCTATCCTGTATCATCTACCTATCTACCTACCTACCTACCTACCTACCTACCTACCTATCTATCTATCTATCTATCTATCTATCTATCTATCTATCTATCTATCCTGTATCATCTGTCTATCTATCTATCTATCTATCTATCTATCTATCTATCTATCTATCTATCTATCTATCTATCTATCTATCTATCTATCTATCTATCTATCTTCTGTCTAATCTATCACCTAGCTATCCAACTATCCAGCTAGCTATTATCTCTCTCTCTCTCTCTTTTCAATATCCATCCATCCATTTTGTGACTGTGAGTTCCACAAATTAAGCACTGCATAAATAAATTGTTGTTGTTTAAAAGGCCCTGCCACTGTCTTAAGCTCTGCTTATCTTGACATATGCATAAAAGGGGGCTCTGCTGTTCATTTAAATACCACCTGAGCAACTTTTTAAAACAGCGAACAGTAGAAAAGATTTTAAAACTGGAAACATCGATCCTGAATTGTGCCAGCCGTCCAAGCTGATTTTATTTCGTGTACTTTCTCTTCCTAAAATATATGTGCCAGAATGTTACCGTTGTTACTACTGCTATTGTTATGGCAGGGCTGAAATACTGAAGCATAAAATTTGTGTTTTCCTTCAGATTCATTACACATGTCACATCAATCGTCACATCGGATTGAGCTTTGAAATAGCTCCCATATAGTTCATAAACCAACAATGTGGAGTAACATTTTAAAGGTTACACGTAGTTGCTGCTCAATCTTAAAAAGCATCTTTGCTACAGATGAGGTTTAACGAGAAAAAGAACTCCAACAGTTAAAAAGAGTATTTAGAAGCCAAAGGAAGGAATATAAAGTTGATTTGTTTGATCAGGACTAAGATAATAAGGACTTTTATAAAATTCTGGAATCCCTTTATTATTTTTTAGCCAACTTCTGGAGAGAAATGACAATGATTTTTGGATTTGTGAATTGTTGGGGATACTCAGGGAAAGAGGCAAACCATGCATGTAACTTCATGGGGATGGGAACCATTCATTTGCCTTTAATTATTGCAAGGAAGATTGGGAATTGCTTATTTAAATATTCTTATTTTTGGCTCCTTCTCCTTTTCCTTCTCCTCCTTTCCCTCCTTCTCCTTCTTTTATTCCTTCTCCTCCTTTTTCTCCTTTTCCTTTCTCCTCTCCTCTTCTCCCCTCCCTCTGTTTCTCCTCTCCTCTCCCCTCCGCCCCTCTCATTTTCTTTTTGGCACTGTGCATTTATTTTTCTTTTCTTTTTTCTCTCTGATTTCAATTTTTATTATTTTTTAAATTAGAAAACTCTTCAATAAAAAGTATATTTTTATAAAAGAGAGATTTTTTAAAAAATATACCTCCATTTGAGCTTAATTCATTGAGCTTAAATATACAGTATAACAAGAGTTGGAAGGGACCCTGGAGGTCTTCTAGTCCAACCCCAACATTGCTTGTCAGAAGGTCACAAAAGTTGATCCCGTGACCCAATTGACAAGCATTCGAATTTGGATCACGTGCTACAACAACAGTCAAAAGTGTGAAAAATNAGCCAGCATGGGGGAACTATGGCCCCTTCATGACTCGTGGACTTCAGCTCCCAGAATTCCTCAGCCAGCGTGGCTCAGCTTGGAAACCTCTCCCTTTCCCCTCAGCATGGCTGGCTCAGGAATTCTGGGAGTTGAAGTCCACGAGTCATAAAGGAGCCAAGGTTGCCTACCCCTGGTATAGGGTCTCCTGCCTGAGCAGGGGGTTGGACTAGATGACCTCCAAGGTCCCTTCCAACTGTGTTATTCTGTTATTCTGAATAGCTTCCCTCCAGAGGTTGTGGGAAGTCCATCCCTGGAACCTTTTAAGAAGAGACTGGACAGCCACTTGTCTGGAACGGTACACCTAGTCCTCGGCTTACAACAGTTCATTTAGTGACCCTTCAAAGTTACAACGGCACTGAAAAAAAGTGACTCATGACCCTTTTTCACAGCTACGACCTTTGCAGCCTCCCCACGGTCGCGGGATCCAAATTCTGGTTCCTACTTATGACGCTCGTAGCGTCCCCGTGGGGGGGGTCAGGCGATCCCCTTTCGCGACCTTCTGACAAGCAAAGTCAAGGGAAGGAAGTCAGATTCTCTTCACATCCCGGGTTACGGACGTATCCGCTGCAGCGATCCACTTAATGACCAAGGTGAGAAAAGTCGTCAAACGGAGCAAAACTCCCTTAACAAACGTCTCGCTTCCTGGCAGAAATTCCAGGCTCAGATGTTGGCCGTTAAGTCCAGGACTACCTCCACGGGGTTTCCTGCAACAGCAGGGGGTTGGACTAGAAGACCTCCGAGGTCCCTCCCGACTCTCTCTTATTCTGTTATTCTTCAGGAATAACAGGAAACCAGACAAGGTAAATAATATGAAATTTTGGCACTGAAGGAGGATGAAACACACCCAGTCCACCCCGCTCCACCCATCTCCTGGCTATAAAATCTACACCCCCCAGCCCCCCCCCTTTGTAATCCTTGCACTCTGGAGGATTTAACTCATCGGAAGCCAGGATGTATTCCCAGAGACAAATCTATGAGAAATAGTTTTTGCTCACCCAAGTTTTTGCTCCTTGGGTGACTTAATTCTCTATCCCCCCCCACCCCACCCCGGGTCTCCCTCCCTCCCTCTGACTGCTGCTGGTCAGCAAGTCCAGCCCATTCCCACCCACCCATTCCCACCCACCTCCCCAAGGAGAAACTTCCCACAGATGGAAGCAGCTGGAGCATCTGGAAGAGAAGAAAATTAGAAAGCTGCGGAGATACACGCCCCGGCGAAGGCACCAAATCTTGATCGCCAAATTAGGTGGGTACCGAGGGATTTGATCCCTGTGGAAGCCAGGCCGGTGAGATGGGGGGCCCGGTATGCGTGTCGTCTGTGTGTCTGTGTGTCTGTGTTGTGTGTTTTTTTTCCAGGGGAGAGAAAAATGTAAGCCAGATGCTGCTGGAACGTTTTTTTTGAAAAACCTCTGCCCGATCTTTTTGATCTTGGAAATTGCAGCGAGTAAAAGGAGATAGCTGTTTGTTTGTTTTTTCTTTTTCTTTCTCTTCTTTCTTTCTTTCTTTCTTTCTTTCTTTCTTTCTTTCTTTCTTTCTTTCTTTCTTTCTTTTTTCTTCTTATCGGAAGAAAAAAAGGTAGTGGGGAGGGAATTGGGGCACGATAAGAGTAGAAATGAGGCTGTTTGGAAAGTCATTTTTCGTCCCCCTTGTCCCATCCCAGGGTGGGAATTAAGCACATGTTTCTCTCATGTCACTCGTGAGTAAGTCCCGTTCAATTGCGCTGGAGCGTTGATAATAATAATAATAATAAAAAGTTGGAAGGGACCTTGGAGGTCTTCTAGTCCAACCCCCTGCTCAGGCAGGAAACCCTATTCCGTGTCAGACAAATGGCTGTCCAGTCTCTTCTTAAAAACTTCCAGTGTTGCAGCATTCACCGCTTCTGGAGGCAGGTTGTTCCACTGGTTAATTGTTCTAACTGTCAGGAAGTTTCTCCTTAGTTCTAGGTTGCTTCTCTCCTTGATGAGTTTCCATCCGTTGCTTCTTGTCCTGCTTTCGGGCGCTTTGGAGAATTAGCTTGACTCCCTCTCTCTGCATGTTTCTCCCCTTCTTTTAGAACATAGACTCTGTAAGGGACCCTGGAGGTCATCTAGCCCAACCTTCTTCTCAAGGCAGGAGACCTTATCCCACCCAATGGCTGTCCAGTCTGTTTTTGAAAACCTCCAGTGATGGAGCATCCACAACTCCGGAAGGCAATTCGTCCATTAATTAATTGTTCTCACTGTCAGAGAATTTTGCCTTAATTCTAGGTTAGATCTCCTTTTAACGATCCATCCGTTATTTCTTTGTCCTGTCCTCAGATGTTTTGGAAAACATGTCAGTCTCTATTCTCCATGACAGCCCCTCAACTACGGGAAGACAAGGATCATGTCTCCCCTTTAAGGGGCTGTCCTTTTATTCAGGACCCCCCCCCCCCGATAAACAGGTCCCATTGAATACAACGGGACTTAACTTATAAGGAACTATGCCTAAAGGAGCCAGGCAGAAAAGTCAGTGTAGAATTAGAATTAGAATAACAGAGTTGGAAGGGACCATGCAGGTCATCTAGTCTGACCCCCCTGCCCAATCAGGAGACCCCCACACCATTTCTGACAGATGGCAGTCCAGTCTCTTCTTGAGAGCTTCCAGAGGTGAAGTTCCCACAACTTCTGAAGTTCTGCTGGTTGATTGTTCTCACTGTAAGGAAATTTCTCCTTATTTCTAGGTTGAATCTGTCCTATTAGCAGAGCGTACGCTGAATGTCTTCTATAGGTGATGGAAAGTATAGAGCAGTCTAAACTCAGAATAAAACAGTATAGTATAGTTTAGGAGTTCTCAAACTTGACAACTTCAAGACTTGGGGACTTCAACTCCCAGAATTCCTCAGCTAGCTGGCTGAGGAATTCTGGGAGTTGAAGTCCACAAGTCATGAGAGGGGCCATAGTTCCCCCATGCTGGCTCAGGAATTCTGGGAGTTGAAGTCCCCAAGTCATGAGGGGGGCCATAGTTCCCCCATGCTGGCTGAGGAATTCTGGGAGTTGAAGTCCGCAAGTCATGAGGGGACCGTAGTTCCCCCATGCTGGCTGAGGAATTCTGGGAGTTGAAGTCCGCAAGTCATGAAGGGGCCATAGTTCCCCCATGCTGGCTCAGGAATTCTGGGAGTTGAAGTTGGCAAGTCTTAAAATTGCCTAGTTTGGACACTCCTGGTATACAGGTGGTCCTCGACTTACGACCACACAACTGAGCCCAAAGTTTATATTGTTAAGTAAGACATTGGTTAAGCACGTTTTGCCCCATTTTATGATCTTCCTTGTCACTGTTGTTAAGTGAATCATTGTAGTTATTAAGTTAGTAACACAGGCTGTTCAGTGAATCTGGCTTACCCCATTGACTTTGCTCGTCAAAGGTCGCCAAAGGGGATCACATGACCTTGGACGCTGCAACCGTCGTACGTACATGCCAGTTGCCGAGCCTCCAAATTTTGATCCCATGACCACAGGGAGGCTGCAATGGTTGTTAAGTGTGAAAAGTGGTCATAAGTCACTTTTTTAAAAGTGCCATTGTCACTTTGAACGGTTACTAAATGAATTGTCGTAAATCAAGGACTACCTCTAGTTCCAGGGATTTGACCCTCTGTTGCTAACTGAACAATTGCAGGGGTTCCCTTAACAACTGTGGCAAGACAAGGTCGTTAAATGGGGGGCAAAACTCACTTAAGGACTGTCTTGCTTAGCAATGGAAGGCAATCCTTTGCGGCGCAGTTGCGGTTGAGGACGATCTGCAGCTGATGCTTGTGAGGTGCAAAGCGTGAATTCTTCCCCTACGGAGTAATTCCGTAGGGAGTAACAGAAAGTCACACAAGTTTCCTTTCAGCTTGATTGCAGGAAAAAAAAAGAAAGAATCAGAATTTAGGAATATATAACCGATGGATGTTTGCCCTGCCCCAGCTTTTAAAACAGAGTGACGCATCATGTTGCAAGACTGAAGTAATTATGCAAAGAATCAGAATCAGAATAGAATCTGGAAGGGACCTTGGAGGTCTTCTAGTCCAGCCCCCTGCTCAAGCAGGAGAGCCTATACCAGGGGTAGGCAACCTTGGCTCTTTTATGACTCGTGGACTTCAACTCCCAGAATTCCTGAGCCTGCATGATGGAAACTTTTGCCCCTTCATGACTCGTGGACTTCAACTCCCAGAATTCCTCAGCCAGCATGGGGGAACTATGGCCCCTTCATGACTTGTGGACTTCAACTCCCAGAATTCCTGAGCCAGCATGGCTCAGCTTGGAAACCTCTCCCTTTCCCCTCAGCATGGCTGGCTCAGGAATTCTGGGAGTTGAAGTCCACGAGTCATAAAAGAGCCAAGGTTGCCTACCCGTGGCCTATACCATTTTAGACAAGAGACTGTCCGGTCTCTTCTTAAAAACCTCCAGTGATGAAGCACCCACAACTTCTGGTGGCAAGCTGTTCCACTGGTTAATTGTCCTCACTGTTAGGAAGTTTCTCCTTAGTTCCAGGTTGCTTCTCTCCTTGATAAGTAATCATAATAATAACAGAATAATAACAGGATCTGTATGAGTTTTTAGAATAGACTAACACAGTTGGAAGGGACCTTGGAGGTCTTCTAGTCCAACCCCCTGCTCAGGCAGCAGAACCTATCCCATTCCAGACAAATTGCTGTCCAGTCTCTTCTTAAAATCTTCCCGTGTTGGAGCATCCACCGCTTCTGGAGGCAGGTTGTTCC